TTGCATGCCACAGAATCCAATTGTCTTGGCAACAAAACCGCCAAGCGCTGATGTAAGACTTTTTTTTTGCCTGTGTTTCCACGTAAAGCCAGTCATGAGTAGGTGGATGGGTCGTTAGTATGAGCAGCTGTTTTGAGTGAATTTTGCTTTTCGGTGATGAATTTTCTGAAGGAGTGAATTGCTCTTTGCAGGTCTTTATCTTCGATTACACCAAGCATCCCTCTGTGCCAAATCCTGACAATATCTGCAGGCCACAGTTGCGTCTCCGTGGCCATACAAAAGAGGGTGAGGTATTTTTTCTCTAAGCTAATCCCTATAGATGTAACACACATACCATACCCCTCCCTCATTTCTCTCCTTGCCTTTGCTTTCTGCTGTGTTAGAGCACCAAAACTGTTTATGTGGGAAGAGGAAAAATTGCACCAATTAGCTCAGACACTGCTTTTGTTAAAAACTGGTGTAGTGAAATTTTGTTAGAAGCCGCTTTATCGATTGATTTGATTTAAAATTAAGCCGAATTAGTTTTAAAATTCTTAGGAGAGCGCTAAATTGCATTAAAAATTAATCAGATGTCTAATTGTCAACAGTGTTGCATTCAAAGAATTTGGCTTAAATTTTTAAAACATCAGCTCTTCAATCAGCTGCGTTCTTGTATTGAAGGATATGGTTTATCATGGAATCAGGTCATTACCGGACATCTGCTTTCATCAGCGGATGATATGAGCGTTTGCTTGTGGGACGTGGAGGCATCAGCGGTACGTTCTGGAGTGCTGGAGGCCAAGTCGGTGAGTTTTTAATGATATACTACAGACCTGCAGAGGAATGCACCTCAGCGTGCTGCACCTGGCTTGCGAAAGCACCCCACTAACACAGGACGTCTGAGTCGATAGCCTGGGTGGTTTTGATATTTCCCATATATAAAATATATGAAAAAAAGTTGGTGAAGAGGTGCAACTGCAAGTTAAGCCAGTTTATCTGGCCCATCCAGACAAATGCTAAGGAACCGTACCATTTCGCAAATTTGGGTGAACCAAAACGTCTTACCTCATTCTTTCTTCCTTTCTTTTCTGTTCTGTATCTTACACGCCTTCCTTACTTTGACATCCAAGGTCGACCTGGGCGCTACAGTTAGCTTAGCTTTTTTTTTATTCCACAATTTTTGAAGATAAAAAAA